TCCTTCCTTCCTTCCTTCCTTCCTTCCCAGTGGTTAGAAATGCAGTATTGCAGACTAACTCTGCCCACTGCCAGCAATTCGATTCCCACCGGCTGAAGGTTGACTCAGCCTTCCATCTGAGTGGGTAAAATGAGGACACAGATTGTTGGGGGCAAGAGGCTGACTTGGTAAACCGCTTAGAGAGGGCCGTAGAGCCCTGTGAAGCGGTATATAAGGCTATAGGGTCTTCTGCTTGAGCAGGGGGCTGGACTAGAAGACTTCCAAGGTCCCTTTCAGCTGCATTCTGATTGATTAAATTGTTTATTCTTGTACAACAACACAGGATCATTTTGATGTTCTTCATTCCTGTTTTCTGTCCACAGTATGCCATGTTCTTAACCCTCATCTTCCTTGTGGTGCTGGTGGCTGCCATTCTGGGTTTTGTCTTCAGACATGAGGTGCGTGCTGTGTCTTCGATAATTCTCCGTTTTACTGGGGTAAAAATGGAACTTCCTGTTATTGTTTTCCTCAGGAAGTTTGCCGTAGGATCCTCTTTTGTTTTCCTTGAAGACCGGAGCTTTCCAAACACTAAGGATTCCTGAAAAATCCTTCCAGTGAAGGTCATTTCATTCAAAAGCAATCTCCATACCTTAAACACTGTTTCTTAACAAATTCCATTCATTTATCCTTCTAGAGCAGTGATGCCGAAACTTTTTCTATCGCCCGCGCATGCCAACACCAATTAAATCCTCCTGGGCATCAGCGCATGCATGCCCTCCTCCCTGCGCATGTGAACACAACCCCTCCCCAGGCTCCGGAGGCTTTTTTGAAGCTTGGGGAGGGTGAAAACGGCCACCCCCAGCCCCCTGGAGGGTCTCCAGAAGCCAGAAATGGACCATTTCTGAACTTCCGGTTGGGCTGTTGGGGCTGTTTTTCGCCCTCCCCTGCTTCAGGAAAGCCTCCGGAGCCTGAGGAGGGTGAGAACGGTGTCCCCCGGCCTTCCGGAAGGGTGAAAAATCAGTTGGTGCTCACCGGAGCAGATGGCTGGCGTGCCAGCAAATATGGCTCCACGTGCCACCTGTGGGACGCTTGACATAGGTTCTCCATCACGGTTCTAGAGTCTAGCTCAGGGATGTCAAACTTCCTTGAGGGCTGGATCAGAATTGTTGTTCTCTTCTGCGGGCCAGCGGGGCGGGTGGTGGGGAGGGGGAAGACAGAATGGACACTTCCTGCAGCACCCTGCCGGCCCAAACGGGGCATTTGGAGGCCGCGTGTGGCCCCCCTGTGTCCCGTTTTCAGCCTGGATGGCCTCCTGCAGCACTTTACCAGCTGAAAACGGGCCATTGGAGAGCCTCCATGCGGCCCGTTTTTGGCTGGGAAGGCTGGGGCGGCCGAAAACAGGTTGTGTGAGGGCCTCACGCGGTCAGTTTGGGCTGTTAGAGGCCCCGCAGACTGGTCCTTTGATATTTCCAGACTGGCCCTGTGGGCCTTGAGTTTGACACCCCTGGTCTAGCTGGATCAAGGTGGTGTATAATTTCATAGTAAATGTCTTTGGGGATAGGAGTGTGTAGAACATTGCCCTGAAGTTGCCCAAAGCTTCTCTTAACGTTCTATAAAATGTTGACATGTTTTTCCAAACGAGCATGTCATGTGATGGTAAGTTTTGCACAGCACTTTTAGGATGGCATTGTGTGTGTAGAAGCTGTTTGAGTGCATACCAGAATGCGATGGTAATGTAAATCCTTCCAATTCTAAATTCTTTGTGTTTTTAGCATCAACTATGTGTCAGCATTCCAAGTATCATGCAGAATTAAATCAGAGTCCAAGGCAAAACGATCCTTAAAGTTCCAATTTAATAAATCAGACATCTTGGCACATCTGTGGAATTCCAGTTCTGGAAGTTACTTAGGATTCCCACCCAGCTGAAAGTTCATGATCATCTCCCCACACCCACAAATCCATCACATGGTCCAATCTTCTTCTTCCACGTTGGCATCTCCACCCAGTTGGTTCCGGTCAGGTGTAGAGGTGCTGAGACAAAAGATGACCTTGGGCTTCTAGAAAAGAATGACAANAGGGTAAAAATACCTCCTTAAATTCTTCCCCACAAGAGTGGTCTTTAACAAATCGCCACATGTTCTGTACCTTGCTGTGAAAACAGAAACTCTGGGTTTTAGCATGTGATTATACACTGAATATAGTTTTGTAGCTCTCCAACTAGTAGCAATAACAGTAGCACTTAGACTTATATACTGGTTTATGGTGCTTTTACAGCCCTCTCTAAGTGGTTTACAGAGTCAGCATATTGCCCCCAACAATCTGGGTCTTCATTTTACCCACCTTGGAAGGATGAAAGGCTGAGTCAACCTGGAGCCTGGTGAGAGAATTGAACTGGCAAACTGCAGTCAGCAATCAACAGAAGTAAGTTGCAATACTACATTCTAACCACTGCGCCACCACGGCTCATTAGTATGCTGTGATACTATGTTTGCAAGAAATTGTAGCACTCAAGGGTTGGACTCCTAGAATTTTTTGAAGCTGCCAGTACAAATAGTCAAATCAACATCACAGTGGAGAAAGCTTAGCCATCTCCTTTGCAATGCAATCTTATAACTTTCTCACCTCCCCACAAAGTAATAATGCTTTTTAAATTATAAAAAAATGAGAAACTGAAGTAGATAAAAGCAGCTAGGCGGGAGCACACAGCCCTTTAGTTAATTGTTGCAGTAACATTTTTGCACAGAGAAATCCCATCTTGCTTAGAATAGAGTGAATGCATACAGTAGATCTGGCTGGAATTCTTAAGAGCAAATTTTATATGTTTGTTGTGTTTACATGACAAAAATTTTTGAAAATAAAATTATTGGGTGAACAAAATTATTTCATTTAAAAAATACTGATTGACACAAGCAGCACATATTGAAATCCTTCAAAGACATCTGGATTTTCAAATGGAAAGGGCATCGTTAAACTTTGGGGCTTGTATGTTAACATAAAACTTTTATTTAACGCATTTATTCTGGATATAAAACCTAGTGCCAGGCTTGGAAGCCATCTTTTGCATTGGGCATGCCACATTTAATGCTGTGGGAAAATGGGAGGGGGGATTATATGGAGTATGGGAGACACATAGTCATAATAACATTCCTTTCTCAGAGAGTCAAGGGCATCTTGCCTTGCACCTAGAGTGGTGTGACTGGGAGGAATCTCCAGTTGGGACAGTGCCTGATTGGACCATGTGATGGACATGTGGGTGCTGGGCAGGGACTTTCATTTGGGTGAGAAAAACCTGGAAGCGTTCAGATTCGAGTTTTCCCAGATGAGCCAATATGACATCTCTAATAAAATAGAACTTTGAGGAAACCCAAGCCTCAGAATTTTCTTTCATTGGGAGTGTTACTTGGAACCTTGACACCTAGATTATTTACATTTACATTGCTACTTGGTTTTAGGACCTGGAATCATTTATTTTGAAAATCTGTATTTCTATAGACTGATTTTAGTCAGTAGATAGAAGCATACATTTCTATTTTATTTATTACGTTCTTTTCTTCATTCAAAATTCTTTTATTTCTAGATCCAGTGGGGATTCCAGACTTTCAGTCTCCACTGAGAGATTCTGTGAGAGAAGAATTATTCAGCACTGAAGTTGCCTATTCAGAGCAGGCTGCAATCCTGCTCAAAGGATCATTCCCAAGGGAAACCAGGAGAATAAAGGAAGAGAGTTGCTTGTCTGTAAGTCTTCCAATGTTTTTAAGCCAGGGTTGACCATACAGTGGGCTGGATTTACTCCCATTTGTCAGAAATGCCAGAAATGGTTAGGGAATTGGAGGCTAAAACATGTGAAGAACGGTTACAGGAACTGGGCATGGCTAGTCTAGTGAAGAGAAGGACCAGGGGAGACACAATAGCAGTGTTCCAATATTTGAGGGGCTGCCACAGAGAGGAGGGGGTCAAGCTATTTTCCAAAGCACCTGAAGGCAAGAGAAGAAACAATGGATAGAATTGATCAAAAAGAGAGTCAACCCAGAAATAAGAAGGAACTTTCTGACAGAACAATCAACCAATGGAATAGAGATTGTGGGAGCGTCATCATTGGAGGCTTTCAAGAAGAGATTGGACAGCCATCTCTCAGAAATGGTATAGGGCTGGGATGGTGAACCTATGGCACGCGTGCCACAGGTGACACACGGAGCCATTTGTCAGGGCACGTGAGGCGCTGCCCGGTCAGCTGGCCAACATTCATGTACGCGCTGGCCAGCTGAGTTCACCCTTTTTAAAGCCATTTTTCGCCTTACCCAGGCTCCAGAGGCTTTATAGGAGCCTGGGGAGGGCGAAAAGAGCCTCCCTCATCCCCCCCCCAGGACCTCTGGAGACTTCATGAGCTTCCCTGAAGCCTCCGGAGTGCAAAAAAATGGCCCTATGGGCAAACCGGAAGTTCGGGAACGGACTTCTGGTTTGCTCGGAGGGTTGTTTTAAGTGCTCCGGAGGCTTCAAGGAAACCTCCTGAAGGTCCCTGAGTCCTTCGGAGCACTCAAAATGACCCTCCGAGCAAACCGAAAGTCACTTCCAGTTTGCTTGGAGGGTCATTTTGACTGCTCTGGAGGCTTCAGAGAAGCCTCCTGAAGGTCCCTGAAGCCTTCGGAGCGCTTAAAACAACCCTCCGAGCAAACCAGAAGTGACTTCTGGTTTGCTCGGAGGGTCATTTTGACTGGTCCAAAGGCTTCAGGGATCTTCAGGAGGCTTCCCTTCAGGGTCCCTGAAGCCTTCGGAGCGCTTAAAACGACCCTCCGAGCAAACCGGAAGTGACTTCCAGTTTGCTTGGAGGGTTGTTTTGACTGCTCCGGAGGCTTCAGAGAGCACCTGTAGTGCACGCTTATGGCATGCGAGCCAGAAAAGGTTCACCATCGCTAGTATAGGGTCTCCTGCTTGAGCAGGGAGTTGGACTAGAAGACCTCCAAGGTCCCTTCCAACTCTGTTGTTATTCTAGGTCGCGCGGCAGCTTGGTTGGTGGAGCCCGAGCGAAGCGGAATCTCAGCGAAGGGTCTCCTGCTTGGGGGGAGGGGGGGTTGGACTAGATGACCTACAATATCCCTTCCATCTCTGTTAATCTGTTAAACCCTGAAATTTGATGGCTGAATGGCAACATGTCATCTTTAGGATTTCAGGACTTTCATGTTTTTAGGATTAGGAGGCTATTAATGAATGGTAGTAGCGTGACTTTATGAGGGTGTCTTCCTCCATTCTCACTCACAAAACATCTTCAGAACATCGACAGAAATATCTGGAAAATACTGTATCTGCTCCCCATTTTTTGGAAGAATTTTATTACACGAATGCTCCTGCAACCTTCTAGAAGAAGCTGAGTTGCAATCAAATTTTACCCATCCTTTTTCTAAATTTTTAATCTATTCATTACTTTGAAGAAAGAATTTTGTCAGAATTACTAAGTGGAGCCTGAGATGTCAGACTAATTTCTTATTTTTCGATTCTTTAATTTAGAAGTTTAAGATCCCTAAGGGGAGGCTAGGAGTAACCAGAACAGAAGATCTGTCTCTTCAGGACATGAAGAAAATTCCCACCCTAGCACTTATTGAACTAACTGCACTCTGTGATATTGTTGGCTTAGAGCTGAAGAGGAACAAGGCAGTTAAACGAAAGTCATCAGGTAATTTTTCACCCATTCCCCCCTTTTTTCTATGGTACCTATAATGTGTGTTTCTTGAAATTGTTGGGGCAGAAGGAAAAGTACAAGTGCTTAATGACAAATGAGAAAGCTTATTTGATAGTTGCTTGCCACTGGGGTTTTGGGAAAGGGGTCCCCAACCCCCAGGCCATGGACTGGCCTGTGGCCCACCAGGAACCCAGTCCATTCAAGTGAGCAAAGCCCCATCTGTACATATGTGGGATGCAGGTAGGACATGAATCCACCCCTCCCTCCGGCTGTGGAAAAACCACTCTACACGGAATTGGTCCCTGGAACCAAAAAGTTGAAGGTTCTGGTTTGGAAGATTCAGTCTCTCTGCAAATTTGGTACATGTAATTTCTGCTTGAATTGTCACTACGATATCTTTGGAGACTAAATCACATAATTGGGGGGGGGGGGCTTGGGAGGGGAACAGAGCCTTATTCAAAAAATGGGAACATAGTTTTTTAGGATGATTTGCTCCCTGAGAGGGGCAATTGTGGTTAGGGTAAATAAATGAGGAGAGAAAAGGTAATCTTACCTTCTCTGTGTTCTGCAAGCCCAAATGCAGTCTATCTGTTCCTCAGTACATTCAGAATACCTGTCCAGCTTCTCTGTCCAACTCCTCAACCTTTGTACTATGAGATTCCTGGCACCTGAGGCAGAGGTTTTTGTACAAAAAATGTGCTTTCAACAAGTCTCCACACTGCATCCTCTGCATGCTTCAGTATTCACCAGCCAGTTCAGTAATAAGAGAAAGTACCCTTCCAGCAGCCATGACCCTGCTGCTTATACCATTGCTGTGGTATTGCTGGCATAGTTCAGCCATTATTGCTACCACATCAAGGAGCCAGCTGAATTGGAGCCTGATGTCTATCAGCTTTCATGGGTATTGCAGCACTTGTTTAGATCTTAAATCTTTTCTCTTTCTCCTTCTTGAACATATCATTGTGAAAAGTTCACAATATTTTCATAATATTGCTTGTCCATACAAATTTGTCTCAAATCTGAAATGTAGCCCATCTATCTTCTTTTAATAACCCCATAATCCCTTGTGGGGTGTTGTCTGGGCAACTGAATGTTTACTGGCCAGATGCCCTTCCTGTCGCCAATGTGGAGTTATATTCAGCAGATATATTCTCATCATGCCCAGAGAGAGAAATATCTGCCTCTACCTAGGATCGAACTCACATTCTGATTGTGAGACGAAAGCTCCAGTTCTAGGCCACCACACCACAAGTATAGCCCATGTATGGTGGCTGTTTTTTGGTTTATTCCCACCAACCTTCTTGGCAGCTGTTGTTAAACTCAAAGCTATTTTCTCTCTTGTTTTATGGTGGCTTAAGGAAACAGATGAATGGCAGGCAGAGCTAGAGAACCACAAGAGAAAGCTGAATTGGTGGACATCCTAATCACATTATGGTCTTGCTGTTTTAAGTACAATTGTTTTTCCCTATGGTCTTCTAAACTGTCTGTCAACTTGCAAAGCAATCATGGTCTGCTCTTGAGTTGCCATGGGCAAGGCGGGGAGAACTGATGGAGCAGTTCAGCAGCCACTCAGAAGCACATTCCATGCATACCATTCTCCCCATTTGGATCTCAGATTACCAGAGTGTTTTTTACAGCCCCCAAAAGTGCCTTGTTGGACAATGTGATTAATGACACACTCTGGGAAGAGTGGGGAAACAAGGTCACAGTTGAACTGTAAATCACGTGCGGCAGAGTTGACTTCACTCGGGAACAGTGCTGACATGTTGCTCCTAACAAATAACTGGATTTCTTTTGAAATTTGGCTCGAGGCTCATGAGTTAATTAGGGCATACCTCGGAACCCTGACACTGTCTTTATTTCTTCAAGTTTTTGTTTTGTTTGAGAGATGAAATAGTTTTAAATATAAGTTGGTTTTATTGCAGACCACAAACTTTTTGGAGTTCCACTTGGCACTTTGCTGGAAAATGATCAAAAACTTCTTTCAAACACCCGGGTTCCACTGATACTACAAGCGGTAAGTTCTATATCGCTTGTTGTTATCAGTTCTGTATTTTGAATTTGGCTGCAATATTGTTGTTTTCTCATGATGATTTTCCCTTTTGCTTCACAGTTGCTTTCATGTTTGGAAAAGAAAGGGCTGGATACAGAAGGAATCCTGAGAGTTTCGGGGTCACAGTCTCGCATTAAGGTACATTGCTGTGGTTTTTAATTCAGTTTCTTCTGGAATTCTTTGGAAATTTATTGGGCAATCCTCAGCATTTGGACCACATTGTTTTTGGGGTCGGGGGGGGGGGGGGAGAAGATCCATTTGATCTGCAGTATCATCCCCCGTGCTATGTAGAAGTATATCATAGGTGATATCTAAATAAAAGTAAATAGAATGCAGACCATAGTCCATCTATGGGTTACTACCGTGTTTCTCCAAAAATAAG